CCCCCATTTTTGAACATAGATGTGAAAGTGCACTATCCAAACTTAAATTGTTATAAATCATGAACGCTTTTGAAAACAGACCTAAGGTTGTATTCTTTTTAAAATACTTTTATAGACTTTAAAAAAATAGACTTAAAAATCTATTTAAAATAAATGCTGTTCTTTTGAACTTTCAATTCATCAAAGAATCCTGGGAAAAAATCAGTTTCCACAAAAATATTAAGCAGCACAACTCTTTTCAACATTGATAATAATAAGAAATGTTTCTTGAGCAGCAAATCAGCATATTAGAATGATTTCTGAAGATCATGTAACACTGAAGACTGGAGTAATGATGCTGAAAATTCAGCTTTGATCACAGCAATAAATTACATTTTAAAATGTATTTAAGACCAAAAAACAAAGATCCGCACACGAAAAATGGGCCAAAAAAGTGCACATTAATTTATTGTCCAAGGGCCACAAATAAAGTGCACTTTATTTGTGGCCTCTGAATAATAAATTCAGATTAATATAGAATTTGTGTCGTTCTTATTACTTGGGAGTCATAATAAAGGATGGAGCAATACTTTGGTTTACAAACTGCAGTGCTTTATCAGTACTCTATGTCTGTGTTCGGCTAACGCATATACAATTGTTTGGGTCTTTACTACCAAGCTGTGGGACCAGTTCGCTAACAGAAGTGTAAAACAACTTTTTCCCCTCAGTTTCTTTATTTTTAGAACAGAGTGGAGCACTATCATTATTATAATAGGATGCATTATTGATAAGTCGTATTCCAGTACTGGTGATGGGCGTTCAGTTTCCAACATGCGCTGTAAGCAGTAGACCAATCACAACAGACTGGGTCATCGGACCAATCAGAGCAGAGTAGCCTCATGCAAAGGAGGGGGTTGGAAAGATTACTCTTTAAACTAATTGTTTGAGAGTCACTGAGAAATAACATAAAATTAAATGCATATTATAAGAATATTAAAGTGTTTTTTGACCTTGTATGCATGTAAACCTGTTGTTGGGGACTCCCAAAACCAAATGATGAACCTTTCAAAAAGCATAATAGGGGCACTTTAAATGACTGAATGAATGAATTAGCTATTTCTTTAATAATTGTAATACACCCCTGCACACTCATTACGGCCTGACTGTCCCCGACACTTTTGAGAACTCACTGATTCAGTAGTTTTAATAGATCATGAACCTGTTTGTGTGTTAGCAGCCTGTCGTGGTGCACCGGCAGAATCTGCTGGTTTCCTCCTCACCACCAGAGACCCCAGAGCTCCCTTTTCACCCAGACCTCCGACACTCCTCTCCCAGCTCTCCACCTTCTGTTTCTTTACGCCCACAGACGATGAGCCCTGTGGAGACCAGCAGGAAAACAGCGCAAAAATTAATGAGAGAAACAGATGGGGCATTAAAACAGAAAAACACATGTAAGCTGAAAGAACAATTGAATTTTGTACCACAGATCATATAAAGTATAATGTACAGTCAATACTTAATACGATAAATAAATAAACAAATGGATCTGAAATATTGACTTGAGCTGAAATTATTATGTGAGAAGAACGAGTGTGGAGTGACATGAGAACCATTAAACTAGCATAACTATGTCGGAAATGATTTGCCTGTGAGCAACAATGACAATAACACTCGACTGCAGCATGTTGCAACTGACCAATCACAGTAGAGTATCCAGAGACATGCATTTAAAAAAAATCAAAAGCAACACCTAAGACTTTTTCCAAATCATAATATATAAAAGTAACTAAAATAAAATGTAAAAATATGTCAATGTCAAATCAAACGAACTAGATTTGAATCTAATGAGGTGGAGGCTGCTGTGTTTCTCTTCACCTGTGATCCCGTGTTCACGTCTGTGGTGAGGATGTCTGTGGGTTTATCAGCCGTGTGTTTGCTGCCTCTGTCTTTTGCATCTTCTGTCTCGTCTTCAGAGTCTGAGTCCCTCAGTCGTTTGACCAGAGCTCTCTCCAACATCTCTCTATGAGGAGCAAGAGAAAAGGGTTAAAAGTCTAAACCACCCTATATTATATAATCCATGCTTTTTATCTTGACATTACATGCTACTCGTGAATGCACAAGGTGTAATTATTGTCACATGTGAGTGTACATGGTAAGCAATATGGACACAATTATGCCTTTCAAACATCAACATATTTGCTTAAATTCATATGAATAGCTACATTTTGTACATGAACCATATTTTATATGCAGTAATCCAGGGCTGCACAATTTCAGGGAAAAATCGGATTGATTTTTATGTTAAAAACCGCGATTTAAATAACAAAACAGGTTTGCTTTGCTTGTTTGTCGGGCTGCACAATTTAGTCAATAATTGATATGGCTATAAAATAATAATAATATTATTACTACTAAATAAAAATATAAAAAATTACTAAAAACAAAACATTATAGTAATATTACTATTGTAAAATGCATTGCATAATAATAAAAAAAATTAAATAATATTTTTTACATTAAAACTTTAAAATTACAATACTAATATAATATTTATGGCTTGCTTAATTTTTCATTCTCAAGAATTAAAATTTCAAACGTTAAACCATTAAACTTTTAGCAGAAGTTGCACTAAGCCATATCGCAATTTCGTTTTTATATTGATTAATCATGCAGCCCCACTGTAATCCTTGTCATTTAAGTTTTTCTCCCATTTTAAATAACCTTTTTGTGCGCTTAAATGAATCTGTAGTGTGACAAATGCATTTTTAAAAAGCTCAAATATTTCAACATACAGTGTATGAAGCAAAAAGGCCAAAAGCTTCCAAAAGTTCAAAGGTTTCTTAC